GTATTTAAAGATCATTTGCGCACATTTCTCCATTAATTCCTCCGTGACTGTCACCTGTGTTCATAGATCTTCTGTAGTGCTTCTGTCTTCTTCTTGGAGACACCACATGTCTGGAGTTCAGCCATCGAAAGCCAGGAATTTTTCGCAGGCATTAAGGTATGTAGCAATGGGCAGGGATTTTCCCTCTGTGACTTTGTTTTCTGAACCGTGATCTAGGATGCTGTCTGCTGTACCTCGTTATAGACTGAATCAAAATGCTGAGACCCAGGAGTCTCTTTTGCAAGAAAAGCCCAGGTACCCTCATGCACACAAATCCTGACTGCTCGTTTAAAACTTGATGTTGGATTATTTCAGAAATATCTTACAACATGACCGTACAAAAGTGCTAAAATTAGAGTATTAATAATTAGTGACTGCACACTTGGGATTGCAAGCACTGAACCATAATCGAGGATAGAACTGACCGAGTGGTGGGCTGTAAGGAAGGCAGACATTAAACTAATGGAACCAATGCCAGGCCTGGAACTGATGATCTGTCCAGCAGCTGAGCAGAGATGTCCTGGCATCTCAGTGTGGTGGAAGGAACAAAAAGGCAAGTGTGCCCTGGGCATTCTAAGGCATGTGGCCAGAGTTTTTTTCCTGAATTATCCTTGGTCCAAGGATAAAATGGGATTTTTGATAGATTGTTAGACTATGACTCCAAAGTGAAATACAGCCTGCACTTGGGCTAAGTTCATGTTTAGACAGTAGAGACTAGGGAAAGGAATCAGGAAGTGGACTAAGCAGCATAGTGTGATGGCCGAGAGGTGGGAACTACATTGTCAGAGTAGTGTCCTTATATTGGGGGTGTAGAGGAGCAAAGCTCTGACCTTGGCCCAGAACCCTTGGATCTCCATTGGTAAGCACTTGATAAACAAACAATGCCAGGGCCAGGTATTTATTTCTGTGTGACCGAGAGAGACTTCCATCCTAGAACACAGCTCTTAGAAGGGCTGGCCAAGAACTGAGGCTGCATAGAAACGTCCTGCCTCAAATTAAGATTGGCCTGTGAACTGAGATAGGGTCTCTCCGAAAGCCGGGTTCTAGGCAAACCCAACAGAGACCAAGAAATAAACTCAAGGTTAATATATTTCAGGGGCCAAAAAAAAAAAATGGATTTAATTTTTTAAAATCTCACATTTCTAATTAAGTTGAAGAGTACTACTCCGCATGAATACGCAGACTCTCATGATGGGAGTCCATGTTTGCTGTCCGCGGTACTGCCATTTGCAAAACAAACGGAAGAAGAAACATCATCTGTCTCCCCTTTCTCCGCTGCCCACCACAGAACCAGCCTCAGATTAACTTCCACCACATGAGCGGGGGAACCAAATGGGCTTTAAACTCAGAGCAGTATGGCAGCTCCATGCCATCTTCTTTATCTGCCGTGCATTTCTGTAGGGTTAACTTTAATTTGTTTTGCTTAATGTAAAAATCTCAGTCTTTACCTTGTCTTTGCCAATCTGTTTACCAAAAAAAAAGAATTTAAAAAAAAATTCTCTCTTAAAATTACTATGTAAAATGTGAGTTATATTTGAACATAACTGCTTTCTGTATTTTCTTACACCAGTTACAACCTGAACAGAACACTATATCAGAAGATGGGACAGAATACCAGTTGAGAATGGAGAGTACAATTCCTATTACTTGCTTCGGGTTACATGAGCTTGATCATGAATGCAAAATTTCATTAAAACTGAAAACTATTGATCAAGGTAATACACAGAGTACATTTAATTGTATTGTTAGATCTAAAATAATAATTGAAGCTTATTTTTCTTTCTAAGAAAATATTACTAAAATATATGCATATAATTAATCTTATTGCAAATTTTGTTTTTTCCTCATCCCATGTCAGGGTTGAGAGAAGGTATTTCCAATGGGTATATATAATGGGGATTACAGATCTTTCAAAAGGCATACATGTCATACAGCCAACATGTAACATCATCAATAGGTAATATCATAATTGGGTAACAATATACCAGCAATGAGGTGAGTCAGCATCTTGACCTAGTGCTAGTTGACCTCAAACCCCTGAGCCCGCCACAGGAGGAGTAATCTCTGATTTGTATCAGCAAGAGATGTCAAAGCAGAATTTGCTACATTTTGCAGTGGGTTGGCTGTAGAATCTGATTGCTTTTTTTAATAATCATTTTATTGGGGGCTCTTACAGCTCTTATCACAATCCATACATCCATCCATTGTGTAAAGCAAATTTTATATTTGTTGCCATCATTTTCAAAACATTTTCTTTCTACTTGAGCCCTTGGTATCAATGTATAAATAAATGATAATGTATAATTTTTTTTTCATGTCTTACACTGACTGATGTCTCCCTTCACCCACTTTTTTGTTGTCCATCCCCCAGGGAGGGGATCATCATATGTAGATCACTGTGATTGGTTCCCCCTTTCCCCCACCACCTTCCCCTTCCCCTCCTGGCATGGCTACTCTCAATATTGGTCCTGAGGAGTTTATCTGTCCTGGATTCCCTGTGTTTCCAGCTCTTATCTGTTCCAGTGTACATCCTCTGGTCTAGCCGGTTTTGTAAGGTAGAATTGGGGTCATGATAGTGGGAGGGAGGAAGCATAAGAGAACTAGAGGAAAGTTGTGTGTTTTGTTGGTGCTATACTGCACCTTGACTGGCTTGTCTCTTCCTGTGACCCTTCTGTAAGGGGATGTCCAATTGTCTACAGATGGGGTTTGGGTCTCCACTCCACCCTACCCCTCATTCACATCAATATGATTTTTAGTTCTGGGTCTTTGATGCCTGATACCCGATCCCATGGACACCTCATGATCACACAGGCTGGTGTGCTTCTTCCATGTGAGCTTTGTTGCTTCTCAGCTAGATGGGCACTTGTTTATCTTCAAGCCTTTAAAACCCCAGCTGCTATATCTTTTGATAGCTGGACACCATCAGCTTTCTTCACCACATTTGCTTATGCATCCATTTTGTCTTCAATGATCGTGTGGGGAAAGTGAGCATCTCAGAATGGTGGGTTATTAGAACAAAGTTTTCTTGCGTTAAGGGAGTACTTGAGTAGAGGCCCAATGTCTGTCTGCTACCTTAATATTAACATATAAATATATGTACATAGATCCATTTCCCTATTGTTATATGTAAATATATTTACATATGTATATGCCTGTGTTTAGACCTCTATAAATGTCCTTTGCCTCCTAGTTCTTTCCTCTATTTTCTTTTACTTTCTTCTTGTCCCACTATCATGTATGGCCTTCATTAGGGCTTCAGTAATTCCTCTTAGCTACATTGCCCTTGGTCAAGCCCCACCAAGCATCCTATGCCCTCCTAGCCATCAATTTTAGATTACTTGTTATTCCCTTGCCCCTGGGTTTGTTGACACCCCCCTTCGTTTCCCTTTCCCCCCTCTCCTGTGTCCCCAGGAGCCGTCAGTCCCATTGTTTTCCCACCTATCTTATCTAGATAGACAAACAGATTTGGAATTATTTATAGGCTTTTCTTTTGTTGTTTATTTGTTGTTATTTTGTTTTTTGTTTTCTTGCATTGTTTTGTCTTTTTTGTGTGTGCTTATTTTTGCACATTTAATAAAATTATAGCCAAATCATATTAATAATACAGTGCCAAATTTATGATTGCCAAAACAATTCACACTGATCTCTCCTGGGTTCAACGTATAAAGGAAAGATAACAGCAATTCAAAGAAGCCTGGTAGCATGATGGTAAAGCACTTGGCTGCTACCCCAAAGGTCAGTGATGCACATCTATGAGTTGCTCTTTGAGAGAAAAGACCTGATAATTGGCACCCATCACACTGAGAGCCTAGGGAGCCCTATTGTGTAGTTCTACCCTGTCTTCTAGGGTCTGTGAGTCAGAATGGATTCAATCACACACTACCACAGCAATCATTCTCCAGTGAACAGCCTCTTTTCCCCTCTTTTGCTTCTCCCCCTTATGTCCTTTTTGCTTTGTCTTCGTGGATTGAAAAACAAACTACTTTTCCAGACTTTCCAAATTATTACCACTAAGGGTGATAAAATCATTCAAATCCACTCCATCAAATTGATTCTGACTCACAGTGACCCTATTTAGGGTTTCTGAGCAGACAGCCTCATCTTTCTGCCATGGAGCAGCAGATGGGTTTGAACCTGCAAACCTCGGGTTAGCAGTTCAATGCTTAGCTGACAGTATCATCAGCGTGTTATAATAAGTTACATTGTAATAAATTATGTTAAAATTTCCAATTTATTCAACAAGTATTATTTTATAATTAATTCTTGACACTTGTCTCACTAATGCAAACCTATGTTTGAGATCTTTCTTTTCAGATTCTTTTATTTAAATGACTAATTATATAGATGTTATGATGCATGCCTATGCATTCCTTACTGATCTAGACATATGAAAGAACTGAAATCCTCATACAGAACACAATAAAATGTGAGATGACAGTGTTATGGTCTTGGCAGCCTGAATTTTTCTCTTATTTTTATTTACTTGTGCTAATTACAGGAGCCCTGGTGGTGTAAATCAAAAAACCAATCCCACTGCCACTGAATTGATTCCCTCTCATAATGATCATATGACCCTTTGGGTTTCTGAGATGATCCTTACAGGAATAGACAGTCTCTTTTTTTCCCCTTGGAGTGATTGGTGGGTTTGAACTACTGACCACTGATATAAACTATAAAATCATCACTGATATAACTACCTTTGGTTAAGTTATACCAAGCAGACAGAACTATAGACGTCCTCATTGACCTAGACATACAAGGGAACTGACATCCTTCACCAACTAAATCTTGCCAATGAAGAATTGAATGAAGAATTCCTACCACAAACTAAAATCTTGACCCTTGCTATTTTTGGGTTACAAGCAATGAAACTTTTACAAGAAGTAGAAGTCACAGAAGCAGAGGTCTCAGGCTAAACTGCGGTTTGATTAAAAAATGAAATTTAATTTCAATCTGGGGCAGTCATTTTAGTCAGGCCAAGTGTCTTGGTTTGGAAGTTTTCTAACTTCCAAAATTAGATTTTAATGCTCAGACTGTTTGTCACATTCTGTTTAACCTACCTCTAAAAAGCATATTGTGCACAGTGTTATCCGTTTATGGGGTATATCATAAAGAGGAAGATGCTATTGATGTTTATAAAACTGAGATCTCCGATAATTGCAGCAATCACTTTCAATTACAAATGCACTTTAAAATAAAATCACATGCTCCCAGTTCTTTCAAAAATGCAAACATTGCTATAATGACTTCCTAATTATATTTATGCTTTTAAGAATTTTCATTTTCTTTTTGCCTAATTGGTGAAAAAGAGCACTTTTTTTTTGGAGAAACCTCTGGCTTTCATTTTGGCTAGTCCTTATGTCATATTCTTTAAATATATTGCCTTTTAGTCTCTAGGAGGAAACAAGTTGGTATGCCTTAGTGCATATCTAAAAGACGTTGCTAAATTTTCACAGGTTTTAAAGAAAAGAATTCTTGGTTCCTATACCATATCCTGAGGAAATGGTGTCAGGGACTGTTTCCAGATCAGATATAGTCCATATTCAGGTTAATGGGCTGGTTAATACCGATGTTTCTGTAATTTTTCATATGCACGAGGAAAGTATGTAATTTTAGAAAATTCATAAAAATGTATTTTCTTTCAGGAATTTTTGAAGTTTGTATAGTATACCTATGGATGTTAAATGACTTGTATAATTTTATGTCTAAAAAGCGAGAGAGAAAATAAAAAATTTTAATGATTTTCTTCTTTCTCCTTGTTTTTCAGAACACACACCCACATTTCCTTTGAGGACAATTTTGCAACAATGGGGTGGGAATGGGAAATCTCTTCTTTCCTTTTGAAACTTCAATTACTTTCTCCAGATTTTTGAAGTTGTATAATTTGTGAAGACCCTTCCTTGTCTTTTCTTATCATGGATGACACAAATACAGACCCTAAAAAAAGAGCAGAAATCAGAAATACCTGGGTTGAAGGCCAAATTTTAGGGACAAAAAAAGAGATGTTTTTGGTGCTAGGATCAGGTTTTTTGCTGCTGTTGTTTTCTCCAGTAACAAGATGCATTTTTTTATTGCTTTAGATTTGTGTGTGTGTGTGTGCATATACGTGGGGTTTTAAATGGAAGGAAAATGTCCGTGTTGGATAATATATAGATATTATATATAGATATATTATCCAACACAGACATTTTATATGTCCAACATGGTATATATATATACCAAGTTGATTAATTATTTGTAAAGGTCACAGAGTTCAATAGATTTGATTTTATTTAGCTAAAAATTGTGACCATTTCTTTTAAAATAATTTAATTATTTAAGAATATTATTTAAGAATAATTTAAGGAAATTATTTAAGAATAATCTTTCTATTCAATGCTCCACTTTCATTGGGCTAGTAAATGGATTAGTTAGTATATGACCTTAGGACAAATTCTAATGCATTTGTTTTTCGTTGAACAGGTAAAGAACAGGTAGGCTTAAATTTGGCACTCTCTTCCTGTCACATGGACCTTCATCAGACATCATCCTGTGAAAACGGAACCTGTAGCCATGCTTTTGTGTACTACACTGCTATAGCAGATTTTTCTCGAGATGGAGAAAGGATTACGAGCATTTTGGTGGATTCTATAGTCAGTGAGGATTTCCTGTGGAACAGCTACATTCCGGACGGCATCCAGGTTGACAAGTTATAAAAAACATCTTAATAAACGAAGCTTCAAAAAGATACATGTATCTTATCGACATGTCTTGTAAATTTTACACTTCAAAATGATTTGGTAAAAATCACGTTGGTTTTAAATGATCCCATTTTCAATAATGGGTAAAAAATAACTAATATAAATGTGTTTATATTGCTAGATAATTTATTGTAACATCACTAACTAATGATTGATGGTAATAATTCATGGACATTTCTTTGCTTCTAAGATCAAAGTAAAGGATATCCCAACTGCCTACTGCTACTCATTTACTGACCCTCATATCATTACATTTGACGGCAGGTAATTTTCTGAAAATTTTTCCTTTTAGTAGTTTTGTTCTGATCTTTTGTTGTTATTTTGCTTTAAATATCATATTGCTTTATTTGTTATTCTTATCCACAGAAAACCCAAAAAGCAAAGGCATGTATGGATATCCCTGGTTTGTTTCCAAGTACTAGTTTACTTGTATAGAGTTTTTGCCTTGAAACTTATTCCTTAGTAAAAAGATAAAATAGTTGTGAGGCGAGATATATAGAAATAAAGATTATTGCAAATGCAGATAATCATTTTTGCATGATCATTTATTTATTTCTAATATTGATTAGATTGCTTGCTTTAAATACATATGCTTCTATATGACATTCAAATAAGTTTTAAGACAAGAAGATTAAGCTAACACATTATAAGTAGTTAAAGGAAGGCCCAACTCATCTAGCTGCCACATCAAATTGATTTCAGCTCACAGTGACCCCATTTATGTCCGAGCAGAGCTGTGCTTTGCAAGGCTTCCAGTGGCCAGTTTATCAGCAGTCTCTCACTGGACCTTTCTTCTGAAGGGCCTCTGGTGGACTCGAATCTGTAATGTTTTAGTTAGTAACTGAGAGAAATAACCATTTGCATCACCAAAGGATTTAAAGTTAATTCCACTCAGTGTGGCAAGATTAATTGTGCAACAGCTAAGTGGCACACCATAGTCTAAATGCTGGAGTATGGTCATGGATAAGACAGACCAACACTTCCTGACCTTGCCTTTCACTAACTAACTGAACTCTCTCTCTCTCTCTCTCTTAACTAACTCATGTTTCACAAAAGAATTAAAACTCAGTTTCAATTTTACTTAAAAAATTTCAATAAATTATTTAATTGGGGGCTCTTACAGCTCTTATAACAATCCATACATCAATTGTATCAAGCACATTTGTACATATGTTGCCATCATCATTTCCAAAACATTTTCTTTCTACTTGAGCCCTTAATATCACCTCCTCTTTTCCCCCCTCCTTCCCCCCACTCTCGTGAACCCTTGATAATTTATAAATCATTTTTATTTTCATATTTTACACCACTCGCTACCTCCCTCCACCTATGTTACTATTGTTTGTCCCCCTGGGCGGGGTGGGGTGGGGTGGCGGGGAAGAGTTGTCAATCACTGCAATCTGTTCCCCTTTCGCCGCCCCCCAACACCTTCCCTCACAATTTTATTTTTCCCCCTTTTATAATCACTCAGACCAGCGTTTAGGTCTAATGGGTAAGGTCTCTGGAGAGTTGACCTTACCCTTTAACAGGTAAGGAGAGGCGGAAACATGATGAATACAAACAACCTATAGTGTAACCAATGAAGATATGTGCTATCAGGAAAACTAATGCAGAGGCTAAAAAGGGAAGTCTGGGAAGAGGGTTTGCGTGGCCTATTCCAGTAGGGAGGGTACGGGGAGTCAGAATGTGATGAGGACCTTTGACAAAGCCTTGAAGCAGGGAGGCCGATGGCCATAAGCACATGGGGAGGAGGGTTTGCAGCAGGCCGCCCTCCTGGAGACCAGGAAAGTAGGGGGAAAGAGTAATGGGGCAGAGTTGTTTTATTCTGTTCCAGACAAATAAGCGTTCATAGTACAGAGAATTATTGGAAATTTCTGCATTTCATTCTTCCATCGAAATATAAGAAGTGTCTGTAAGTATACTTAGTAATGCATGTGTCTTGTTGATAGCCTATTCTGTGATATTTATATCTGTGCTTAATGTAATTCATTTTTGTTCATGATAGAGCTTATGATAATTTCAAGACTGGAACATTTGTCCTCTACAAGAGTGTGTCCCGTGATTTTGAAGTCCACATACGTCAGTGGGACTGTGGAAGCCTTCACCATCCTGTGTCCTGTAACTGTGGATTTGTTGCCAAGGAAGGAGGCGATGTGGTTACTTTGGATATGTGCAGTGGGCAGCAACATGAGTCACGGCCATATTTGTTTGTAAAGAGCCAAGAGGAAACGAGCACTCTCAGGATAAGTGAGGCTTACTTAGGAAGAAAAGTCACGGTATGTTTGGTTCTTTACTATTCAAATGATTTCTCCTCCTTCTCTGCAGTTAAAATAAAAATCTGAATGACTATTCAACCCTATTAAATGAGTAGTTATTATCTTTTAATATTAGTATGTTAATAAAATGGCATTTAAACTTAACTCCTATTTTAGAATATCTGTATATAATTTTTTCACCTGCCTTCTCCCAAATCAACACAACCTAGTTCAATTTGGTCAAAATTGAGTGGCCTTATTTAAGCTTTACAGGTATGACAACCTGGTACATGACTCATAAAAAATATTTGAGTCCGTCCTATAAGGCCTATAGTTGTTGAAATTAAGCATATGTAATAATGTTCAAGAACGTTGTGGTTAGATGCCACTGAGTTGGTTCTAACTAACACATGTTAGCCCTGTGATTGCAGCACTGCCCAGTTCAATGGCATGCCCACAATTGCTGCTCTGCTGAGCACAACTTTGTAGCAGCCATTGCATCCTCTACTTGAGGGTCTGTCCCACTTTTTGGTGGCCCTTGATTTTACCTCGAGGACGGGTACCTCTTGATAATGTGCACAAAGTACTTGAAACAAAGTCTCTACGTCCTTGCTTCTAAGGACCATTCCAATTGTACTTCTTCCAAGACAGGATTGCTCATTCTTGTGGCAGTTTTGGTATAGTCATCAGTCTTTGCCAATAGCGTAATTCAAATGCATATGAGGTGATTGCATATGAAAATCTCTTGGCTTGGGTCAAGTGCAGGAACCTGGTTGGTGTAGTGGTTATGCATTGGGCTGCTTACCACAAGGTCGACATTTCAAAACCATACATCACTCTGTGGGAGACAGACAAGGCTTTTTCAGGCTCAGACACCCACAGGGGTAGCTCTACCATGTCCTATAGGGTTGCTGTGAATCAGAATCAGCTTGATGCAGTAAGATTGGTTATTTGGGTTTGATCAAGTGCACCTTAATACTCAATATGATATTTTTGCTTTTTAACAATTTAAGCAGATCTTTGCCAACGTCACTCTTCTCTCCATTTACCATGATATTGCTAACCGCCCTTTTTTATTTTCCTTAATGGTACTGTATAAACCATCACGAAGGCTATCATTTTTAAAATCTGCATCAGGGTTTCAAGTCTTCTTCACTTGTCATTTGAGAACGAGTCATTCTCCAATCTCGCTGCCGTCTACCAAGTTCTGGGCACAGAAGAGCATCAATACCTGCCATGCTGAATCAGTTTGTGAATTACTTGCATTGCTATTCTGTCAGGTCCTGGAGTCTTGTTTTGTACTAATGCTTCCAGTACAGCTTGGACTGCTTCTTTTAATACTATTGGTTTCTGATCATCTGTGACCTAAGATGGTGTGAGATTTTTTGAGAAGATCCACATCAACTACTTCTTGTGGCTACCATGACTGTGTATTCCTTCTATCTTCTTTTGGTGCTTCCTGAATTTTTTAACATTCTGTCCATAGAATTTTTTCAGTACTGCAATTTAAGAGTACTCTCCATTCTACAGGAAGTTTCAGAGTCTCTTTTGACATTAATTCTGGCCTTTTTCTTTCTTACCTGTCTTTTAAATACCTTTTTCTTTTGTTTTTTATGATGTCCATCCCACAATTCATTGGGTGTTCAAGGATTCAATCTTTTCTTGAGAAGACTCTAAAATCAGGTGGTATATACTAAAGGTCATGATTTGGCACCCATAGACTTTAAAATTTTTATTTATTTCTTTTTAAAACAGTTTTATTGTCACTTAATCCACATATTATACAAATCAATACTTCAATCATTTTAAGAAGACAAATTTTCTGTAGCTTCAACTTGAACTTGCATATGAGCTATTGAATGGTTTGTTTCACAGTCTGTAGTCATTTGTAATGAATAAATTGTTGGTCTTGCAAATTCTATCATATGACCTCTGTCATTATTTCGATCATAAAGGATTTTTTTATCCCAAATCAAGAATATCTCACTAATTTTAGAAATAAATACAATATGCTACTGCTTCAGGAAAAAACTGGTAGACAGGTAGAAGATAATTAAAAGGGCATAAAGAGACCCAAGTCTATATATTTTCATAGATTATATTTCATATCTGTGAGCTAACTATTTGCATCCTCATTATCTTTTGGAAATGTAAATTTAAAGTGCATAAAATTTAAGTGAAAGTACTAGAAAAGTCAAAGAAAATATTTTTATATCATTGAGGTGAGCAAGAATTTTTAAAGACAACATTATAAATGTGATTGTGTATTTTATAAAAATATATGATAAAAAATTTCAAATCAATAATTGGAAAAATATCTGCAACATACAAGACATATGATCAATATACCTATATACTTAACTAATATGTTAAAAACCCAAGTAAACAGCAAATAATATAAATGATTAATTTACAAAAGAAATAAATCTGACAAATACATCCCAAAATACAAATAACAGCAACAAAAATAACTGTACAAAAGTAAACAAAGAATGTAGATCAAAACAATGATGTAATTTCTACCTAAAGTCTAGTTAAACATATAAAAATTCTCATTCTCTTTATTGGCAAAAGTGCAGTGTTACAAACCTCTCACACAAACTGTCAATAGTGTAACTTGCTAGTCTTTCCAGATTGCAGTATGGGATATGGTGTGTGTATACGCATCTACACCTAACTATCTAGAGAGTGAGACAAAGAGACTCATGTAGCGTCTGGGAGAGTGTTCATGAAGGTTATTTTACTTCTGGGAATGCATTGTAAGATATAGTTAAGGATGTGTATAAATCAATATAATCATCGTATCTCTCCTTGTCAGAAGAAACTGTTACAGCTAATGAATGATCAGTAAATATGTTGAACAAACAATGATACATAGTGATAGGCCACATGATAAAACACTTGTGAGTCATTGAAAGGATGGACTAGTTGAGCATTTATTGACAAGCAAGGATATTTATGAAACACAGGAGAGGTTTTTTGAAGGATTTGTACCAAGATCTTAACAATATCTACTTCAGCTTCAGTAGAAATATAAAGTTTAATTCCTATAAAAATATTTTCTATGATGAAGTCCTAAAATTTTTTATTAAAAATAAGGTATTATTTTTAAGTTTAAAAAGTTAGAAAGGAAGGGAATTTCTGTGGAGCAAGCATAGTAGTCTACCTTCAATTGGTTTTGGAAACAGTCTCCCTGTAGTTCAAATCAAGTACCTAGTCAAGGTGAGGTGGTGTTCCTATAGTGCAGTGGTTCTCAACCTGTGGGTCGTGACCCCTTTGGGGGTAGAATGGCCCTTTTACAGGGGTTGCCCAATTCATAACAATTGCAAAATTACAGTTTTGAAGTAGAATGAAAATAATTTTATGATTGGGGGGTCACTACAACATGTGGAACTGTATTAAAGGGTGACAGCATTAGGAAGGTTGATCATGCAATAAGCTACCCTTCCTCTCATTCCACATTCACTGAGCCCTATTCTAACTCTAATTCTACATGTTTTTCCTATTGGCTGCAAGGGAATATCGATTATCTATAGACGTATTGACTTTTCTGGAATTATATTTCCATATCCAAGGGAGTACTCTCTCCCCCACAAAAAAAAAAACAACCCAACAACAATGGGTAAAATCTCTGCTGGATGGAGCTTTTGTAGTATGTATTTTTCCCATTAGGTAACCTTTGAGCAACACCCTCTGAGTTAGTGTGCCCAGTGCCTGAGAAGGTTCTCTCTGGTCACAATGAATTTTTTTGTAAAAGCAGTTTTGTTCAAACTTCCTTTTTTGTGATGGCCAATTTAAGAGAACAGGATACAGCTGTGAAATTTTCTTTCCTGCGTGGGAAAAATGCTGCAGAAACTGTTGTGATATTGAACACAGCTTACAAGAACAGCACTATGGGAAAAACTCAAGTGTACAAGTGGTTTTCTCATTTCAAAAAAGGTAAAATGTCAGTTGATGACAAACATTGTTCTAGACGACCATCAGCTTCCCAAACAGATGAATATATTGACAAAGTTTGTGCACTTGTGCTTGAAGACTGACAGTGGACTATTGAAGAGATGGGGAAGTTATCAGAACTATCTTGGACCTCAGTTCAGTGAATTTTAACAGAAGATTTGGGAATGAGAAGGGTCGCTGTGACATTTATGCCTTGGGTTCGGACTGACTAGGAAAAAGAGTGTCAACTTGAAAGGTCTCGTGCATTGAAAGAACAGCTCCAAAGTGACCCAGACTTTTCCCCCAAGGTCATTACAGGTGATGAGACATGGTACTATGCTTATACCACCCAAAGCAAACATCAATCAAGCTAGTGGAAGACACCATCATCACCTCACACACACAAAAGTCTCACCAAATGAAATCAAAGATCAAGATGATGCTCATTTGGATTTTTTTTATGTGAGGGGGATAGTGCATTTGGAGTTAGTTCCACCAGGTCAGACTGTTAATCATGCTTTCTATTTCAAGATTGGGAAAGATTGTGTAACACCCTGTGACAAAAAAGTCCTGATTTGTGGCATATGGGGTTTTGCCACCACAACAATGCACCTGCTCATGGAGCCATCTCATTGTGCCAGTTTTGGGCAAAAACAAGCATGCCTATCTTGTTGCATGCACCTTACTCACCTGACCTTTCTCCTTGCAACTTCTTTTTATTTCCATGAATGAAGAGGAACATGAAAGGATGGCAGTTTGATGTGAAGAAAAAAACAAGGGAGGTGCTCTCAGCCATCCAAACAGATGAGTTTAAAAAATGTTTCCAAGAATGGAATTGCAGATTTGACAAATGTATTAAATATAATGGAGAGCACGTTGAAGGTGACAAGGTTGTTTTGTAAAAAAATTTAAGTACATAGTTTTGAAATTTTTTCTGATTTTTTGGGGGGTACCCCCTGGTAGCAGACAGTCAGTACTTTGGACATTTTATCAGGAGGGATCTGTCCTTTAGGAAGGACATCATGCTTGGTAAAGCAAAGGGTAATGGAAGAAAAGGAAACTCCTCAATGAGAAAGATTTACAAAATGTCAGCAACCAAGTACTCACACATAGCAACCATTGTTACTGTGACTCCAGGCCGGTGATATGCTGTTTCACTGTACATAAATCTGCTAGTTGTTGGAAGAAACTTTCTGACAAATAATATAGATATTCTAGCTCTGTATTAAATATTTATTAAAAAATATTATCTGGTAAACATTACTGTCATGATTTATAGCTGTTTTAATTGTTGAATAAAATATCTCACGTTTGTTAAAATTAAAGAACAGAGTTGTGAACTATTTGTCAATAAAAAGATGAATATGGAAATTAAATTTCAACCCAGCAAAAGGCATATACATCTGTTATTTTTAACATAGATTCATAAAAGAAAACTTGTAGGCTCAGCAAAATTAGCATTTGTATTCCCTCTTCATATCAAATAAATAAATGGCAGCTTCATATTTCTAAAATAAGAGTGTTTATTAAGCGATACTGAATACTGTTGAAACATCTCTTCCCCCTATGCTGTTTCCTGTATTTCAGATTTGGTTTCCTTCTGGAGCATTTATCCGCGCTGATCTGAGTGAGTGGGGCATGAGTTTAACCATCAGGGCCCCTAGTTCAGATTACAAAAACACATTGGGACTTTGTGGCACCTTTGACGGAAACCCAGAAAATGATTTCCATGATAAAAAAGGGATCAAAATTGATAATAGACTTAATGATCTTGTTGCTTTTATTAATGTATGGAGGTAAGAAAGTACATTGTTTTTCTTCCATGTTGTATTAACATTAAAAGGTTTAAGATGACTGGTAAATGAATTATCTGCTTTTTTTTTTTGGCATTACATTACTTGAGAAAAACTTCTTGTCCAAATAACCTTTCTTTTCCCCCCCCACCTGGAAGAATTTCACCAGGACAGAGCATGTTTGATATACCACCGATTCCTCTGACATCATCTGGGAAAATATCTTATTGCAACTGTTCAGCAGGTGCTGCTTCACTGCATCTGTCTTCTAATTTTCTGGACAATGTCTATCGGTCAGAACTTGTTTCACGTTGCAGAGGTATCAGCCATGGTAGATTCTCTTCTTTGATTCCAGAATTAGATATCACCTCTGAGGATATCAATTCAGAAGCTCTTTTCAGAAATATAAACCAGGATATATCTGAAGAAAACGATTTGAATTCTTTTCCTCAAGAGAAAAAGCACATAAACCTAAGTAAAGTGGACTTATATTTACAAACGCATCCTGGCAATGAAATACGAGATGTGAAAGCCATTTTGGACAAGCAGGGACACACGCAAGACCAGGGAAGCGACGTCCAAGAAATGGGGTGGAAACCACAAAACAGATGGAAGCGACATAGCTTTGATGAGTTTCCTCCTTTGTTTGCTTTACAAAGTCTCAGCCAGATTGGCCTAGAAGAGTTTAGCTATTTTTTCCCAGAGGACCATTCGGATGATGTCCAACAAGAGTTTTTCCCTTCCTGGCCCACACCCTCTGGTCTCTCTGAACAGGACACTTGGGCCCTCTGCCGGCAGACTGTAGCCAACTCCAGCATAGGAAGACACTGTCTTGCTTTTCTTGGCAAGAGATTGGACAGTGTTATAGAGATGTGTGTTAAGGATGTCCAGTTAAAAGATGATCTTAGCTGGCTAGAAGCAGGTGTGGCCCTTTTAGAAAATGAATGTGAAAAGAGGATTTTGGAAGAGGGAAAATATACCACAGAAGAATATGGCAAGTTGATTGAAGACATTCTTTGGGTATTAAAATGCCCGAATTTGTGCAGTGGCCACGGACAGTGCATGGAATGGGGATGCGCGTGTTTCCCGGGCTTTGGTTCCTATGATTGCAGCAGTGCGTATGGTGAGTAAACGCTCCCTGAGTTTGATACTGGGCATGCTATTTGATCATAGCCAGTTTTTCTACCGTCATAGGGTTGACTTAGGTTATACAGAAATACCACCCTCCGATTACTAATTAGTAAATAAAATACTTTCCAAAAATTTAAGAAGTTTCAAATACAAGTCTTTATATTAGCCTAGAAGGCACAGTGTCCTCTGGTATGCAATTTGTCTTGAACATATCCCCTGTTTCCATTGCTCCTACGCAGTGGCCTCCACGCTCCGAGGAGTCCCTTTGAAGTGTCCCACTCCTTTGCCCTCGTGGCTTTTGCACAAGCTGCCCCTCTGCCTGGAGCTCAACCCTCAGTAGTTCCTTACGCTCTTCCTCTGACCTTTTCCACGTCTGCCCTGACCCGTCACTGCAGGGAGGCTTCTCCAGTCCCCATCACTGTCAGTATCTAAGAAGTCAGTCTTTCCTCACTTGTTTCATTTATTACGGCTTTCTCTGCTGGGGTGAAAATTTCACGAAAGTGGGTCATGTTGTCTTACTTGAGTTTGGTTTCTCCAGCAGCAGAGCCGTGATGCCATATAATACGTAATCTAAATCCTGGTCGAATAGATGAAAATGAATTCAACATTGCATTTTAAATTTACTATTTGTTCCTCTGTGTGTTTCTTTAAGAAATGTTAAGTGATTAAACATTTTTTGTTATTTTTCTTGAAAAAATATATTTGGATTCTCTTATTCTATTATAGTTGTGCTGTGTTTCTTCTGCTCCACTTTGCACCAAAACTTCTAAAAAGTATTATGATGGTAGCCAACATGTATTTTGAAAACATTTTCTAAAACTTGAATTTAAAATTTTGTAAATTTAGTGTATTGTGTTGATAACTGAATTCTATATTAAAAAATTATTTCTCCTGTAACTCATCCATCAGGCACTAATCAAAGTGATAAAACCAAGAAGTAGACCGTTCTAGTAATAATTTCTCAACACTTGTCATTTATTGATATAAAAATATTATTAAAACATTAATAAAACCTGTCTATTTATGCACCAGTAATGACTGTGTACTATTTTTATTGGTTTAATAATGGATAATACTTCTACCAATACCAGATTACTCAATATTTAATGGTTTAATTAATATAGTAAGTAATATTTGGGGCATAATTTGAAATATTATTTTTCATATGCTTTTAATTTGAGTCTTAGAATTAATTGCTTTTTTCTGTAATTAAAAGGAGTCCTATTTTCTCATTTTCTCTCTATTAGACAAAGCTCCTGAAATTATAGAGCTTGAGAATGCTGGATTTTGTGATGTTCAAAAATATAATTGTGCAATGGTGAGAGTTTTTGGAATAGGTTTCAAAGAATTATCATCAATTAAATGTGAAGTCACTAAACTGCAGGTATGTGAATTAAAGAACTGACAATAATTAGATTTTGTAAACCATTCAGATTTCTTTTACATTTGATTTGCTTAGTGTTGCCAATTTAAACGGCATAACTTTTATGAGTTTATTCCTTTGTTTGCTTTACAAAGTCTCAGCCAAATTGACCTAGAAGAGTTTAGCTGTTATTTCCGATTGTTGCAGCCACTGTGTTGAATATCCCGCTGAGGGCCCTCCTCTTTTTCCCTCACCCACTACTTTACCAACCATGATGTCATCTCCAGGGACTGGTCCCTCCTGATATCATGTTCCAAGTACGTGAGACAAAGTTTCACCATCTTACTTCTAAGCATCTCTCTGGGTGTGCTTCTTCCGACTCAGGCTTGTTCATTCTCTGGAAGTACATAGTATATTCCATATTCGTTGTCAATATGGAATTGACATCATATAAAGGCATGAATTCTTTGCTTTTCCTTGCTCACTGTTGAGCTTTTGCATCCAGATGGGGCTATTGAAAATACCCAATCTTGGGTCTGGCACACCATAGTCTCAAAGTGACATCTTCGTTAACACTGTAAAGAAATCGTTTGCAGCAGATTTGCCCCATATAATACATCCTTTGATTTATTAACCGCTGTTTCCATAAATATTGATTGTGGGACAAATGACATGAAATCTTGACAATTTCCATTCTTTTCTCCTTCATCCTGATGTTGCTTATGGGTCCACCTGTGCCTATCATCTCTCTCAGTCTCCTCCAGACCACGACAGCTCTTCAGGCTTCCTTCTCCTTTCGCGGACTTGGAACTTGTTAAGAGGACTGACCGATCAGTTTGTGGAATGTTCCCTAATTAGAGTTTGCCTGATGTATTCTCCCGATTAGATGAGGTTATACTTTTTGGCAAAAAAAGATAACAAATTGATGGTGGACAGTATCTCAACTACTGTGCAGTGTTAATAAATCTCATTACTAATGGTGTAAATTTTCATCACTTGCCTAAGATGGTATCTTAACTTCATCAATGACTTTATTAAAATGAATGAGCTGAGCTTTCTTCTTAATCTATTTATTCCGTTTTTTACTTATCATTTTGAACCAATGAATAATTGTTTCAATTTATGGGGAATCCTTCAATACTCTCAATATTTATTTGATGGTGAAGCTGCCCCAGCTTTCACTATTGCAGGTTTGAACGTCTGGCTTCTGTCCTATGACAACCCTCGATGCTTTGTACATCCTTGACCTTTCTAGACATAATGAATGTCATCCCTCTATTTCTGATCCAAGGGCACAAATAAGAAACTCTTTTACTTTATTTCCAGCAATAGAGGCACCACTTTATTTTTAGGCTGTCAGAGGAAACCAGCCTTCAACAACTGAAGGGCCAGTAGGCGCAATTGTACGGCGATAATAGATTAAGTGTATAGTAAAGTCACAGAGGATATGAAAGATCGGAGAGAGAATACAGCAAAGGAGACAGATACGTTTTATGGGAGCATGCTCACCGCAGCCCCTCTTGATGGTCCATGTGGAATTGGGAGAAGAGAAAGGGAACCTTTACTATCTTGGGCCATTTATAAGTAGCCTTAAAACATGCATATTCAGTAGTTACAGGCATCACAAGGTGGGTGGTGTCTATATTCAGGTCCCAGAGCTCATAGGTGAGAAAACCTAATACCTGCATTGGGGAAGGTATGAGGGGGCTGGGTGACAAGGCGGGATGAGATAGCAACAGGATGTCTGCTTCTGTAGGGAGATAGAATCAACCACGTGCTCACTTTAAGGCAGCATAGCTGTTAGGGGAGAATCTGTGGGAACGATATTTAAAGCAGGATAATGTACTTGGATTTTACCTCTAACTTACCAAAGTGGAGGCTTTCCTATGGTGGAATACTAGCTTTCCAGATTCCCTTTGTTATAAGTTAGGGAATATAGTCCTCATCATATTTCTCTCAGGGTGAGTTTCACACTTGAGGCTTTCATTCTCTCTGCTAGTTAGACTTGGCAGCTTTTTCTCAATCACTGCATCTTTAAATCTGGCACATCCATATAAAAATTATGTTGTATATGTTCTTTGGGGATGATTTTTCACTAAAATACACCTTACACATACTTAAAAATATTGATTAATGGAAAATATAAAATAGAGCCCCTTCATCATTCTGTGTAGGTCAAAAACCATTATGTACTCATCAGTCTTATATTGCCAATATTAGTAAAAGTCTTTGATTTGAGCCCTCAATAGATTCTTGATTTTGAGAAAGCAATTTTTAATCAAATTATGTGTCTTTCATTATCTGAATAAAACAGTATCAAGGTGATTCCTGTTTTCTTATTATATGTACTATTATACCAGGCATGTATTTTAAATTGTATACTTTGATTACATAAATTTATAACCAGCATTTCCATAACTTAACAGATGAATTGTTTTCTCATTATGCTATCAGTATAATAGCAGTGAATGGGTCTTTGGAGATCCCACCTACGTCCACACTGTTTTTCAAAGCAGCAGAATTATTGATTGTCAGCTTCCCACTGATATCTTTCAATCTGATACCACGAGTCTGTTGGGCGAGAAACCAATTGTTAAGTGGCAAATAAAGGTAATACCAGCAACCCAAGTATACTTTACATGTTAATACGAACTTAGTTTCCACTATACATAAAGGAAGCTAAGTTATATATATATTTATATATCAATTAAGCAACTATTTATAAATTAAAATCGTATATTAAATGTATGTGGATACATTTTGACTAAATTATTTTACAAACTACATCTTACAGGCATCTAATGATGGTTATAGATTCAGCAATCCCAAAATAATGACCATATATGATAGCACTTGTCAAGTTTGTGGTCCCTATGAAAATGATTCATGCACTATGAAGGTATGTATCTTTTCACTTTTTTTTGAATATTTACATGATTTGTATTTTTGGTTTTTCCATTTGTATATTAGAAAAACAAGAGAAAAACTTTTTTCAAGTGTATATAATTTATTTAAGCTTCAGAAAAGCTTTCCTCTGTTAGAAACCCACCACTGGTCTATCAGTTTGTCTAACTGTGGTGGCTTGTATGTAGCTGTGATGCTGGAAGTTATACCACAGGCATTTTAAATACCAGCAGGATCACCCATAGAGGACAGGCTTCAGCAGACCTTCAACACTGACACAGACTACTTCTGGAAAAAATGGACCAGTAAAAACCTTATAAACAGTAGAGGAACATTGTCTGGTGATGTGTCTGCAGGTGAGCCCAGCAGGTTGGAAGGCACACAAAATATGACTGAAGAAGAGCCGCTTTCTCAAACAGAGTTGAGTTTAATGATGTGGATACAGGAAAGCTTTCAGAACCATCATTTAATGATGTGACATGACTGAAAATCAGAAGTAACAGCTGTAAACAGCCATTAATTATCAGAATGTGGAATGTGCAAAGCATGAATCTAGGAATATTGGAAGTCATCAAAAATGAAATGGAATGCATAAAGATAGATTACTTGGGCATTAGTGAGCTGAAATGGACTAGTATTGACTATTTTGAATCAGACATGTGGCCTACTATGTCAGGAAAGACAAATTGGTGAGGAATAGCATAGCATTCATGGTCAAAAGTACAATGCTGACATTCATAATATAATATCTGTACACCTAAAGGGAAAGCCAATTAACATGACTGTTATTCAAATTTACTCACCACACTCTAATGACAAAAGAAATGGAAGATTTTTATCAACATCTGCATTCTGAATTTGATGCAATCAAGATGTATTGGTAATATGGAATGGATTGGTGTGTTAGTCTGGGTAGAGCTTTATATACAAGAGCAGTTGAATATTGGGAAACATCCCAGCCCAGTCCAGATCGCGTTCATATGTCTGATAGTAGCCCATATGTCCTTTAACAATCTATAAAGTCCTCTTCAGGTGCACAAAGCAAATGCAATGATGCTGAATGCAGAAAGATAACAGGCCAGTGGGTGGAAGTCTTGTGGATCCAGTGGTGTTGTAGGCATCTTAGTGCTGGCAGGGGTCTCCACATGGCCCCTCAAGTTCAGGACACTAACCTAGCTCTATGTGTCTTGTCAGCTGCAATGTCTCCTAGGGAGTCAGCCTGTGTCCCACCTCCAATGAGCTCTTTATCTCCTTAGCTCCGTCAATTGAGGAAATCAAGCTGCGACCTGATTGACAGGCTAAACCCCTTCACTCTTGAATGTCAAATTGACAACAGATTATGTAACTACCACAATTGGTGATTTGAATACAAAAGAATGATCAGTAGCTGGAAATTTTGACATTAGTGGTGGATATGATGTCAGAGATGGAATAATAGAATTTTGCATGACAAACAATTTATTCGTTGCAAATATATTTTTCCATAGCATCAACTATATATGTGACTTTACCAGATATAGTACCTGTGCTTTATTGACTATACAAAGGCATTTAATGTTTGTATAATAACAAATTATATATAACCTTGCCCAAAATGGGACTAGCAGAGTACTTAAGTCTGCTCATGTAGAACCTATACATAAACCAAATAGAACAAGGTAATACTGTGTGGTTTATAATCAGAAAAGGTGTCTGTCAGGGTTGTATCCTCTCTGGATATGTATCCTGTCTGTATGCTGAGAAAATAATTCAAGAAGCCGTACTACATAAAGAAGAACATCAGGGTTGGAAGAGGATTTGCTAATGACTTGACAATTACAGATGACATAACCTTGCATGATGAAAATGAAAAAGACATGGAGCACGTAAATATACTACAACCATTAGTGTGGATGACCCCTCAACATAAAGAAAGCAAAAATCCTTACAACTGGACCAATAAGCAACATCATGAAAAACAAAGAAAAGACTGAAGTTGTCAAAGATTCTATTTTCTTGGACCCACAATCAACACCCTGGAAGCAGAAATCAAAGCATCGAATGAAATCTTGCATTGGGTAAATTTGCCGCAACACACCTCTTAGAAGTGTTAAAATAGGATGTCACTTTGAGAACTAAAGTGCCCTTGAACCAAGCATGATATTTTCAATTACTTTATATGCATCTGAAATCTGGACAGTGAATAAGGAACACTGAAGAAAAATTTATACATTTGCATATGGTGTTGGCAAAGAATATTAACTAGACCTCACATTGCCAAGAAGTTTAGCAAATCAAGGTGGGAAGAAGTACAGAATGTTCCTTAGAAGCCAAGTTGATAAAACTTGCTTACAAAAAAAAAAAAAAATTAAAAAACAACAACAACAAAAAAACTTGCTTGCACGTACTTTGAACATGTTATTAGGAAGGCTCAGTCCCTGGAGAAAAACATCATGCTTGGTAGATGGCCCACACAAAAGAGGAGGATTCTCAATAGGAGGCACTGACACAACGGCTGCAGCAGTGGGTTCCAACAGCAGTGGGGTGAGGATGGCATGGGATTGAGCAGTGTTCCATTCTCTTGTAGTTAGAGTTCTTACAAGTTAGAACTGATTTCGTAACACATTGCAACTCTGAAAAGCTGTTACTCTGCACACGAGCTATTGAAGTAGCAATGGAAGATTCTTACCTCTAACTTTTTCTTGTGGTGGGTTGTTTACTCTGCCCCGCCCCCCCGCAAAAAAAATCAAGGAGATTCAAATAGAAATATTCAACCTTTCACTCTTACATATGTTCTTTTCCCAAAAGTAATAATTTTCAAGTAAAATATCTTATCTTGGATATCGAATCCTCTTTGTGGCGACTTGCATTTGGATAGTTTGTCAAATGCATAGATGCTATTAAGAATAATCCCCTCTCCCCACAGCCCTGGGCAATAGTTTTGTTTAACTGCACAGCTATGTGCCACTTGATGGGCCACAGAAGAGTGGGGCAGTCTGAGCTGAGCTTATCAACAGGCGTCTTACATATTGCTTGCTGACTCAGAATCACTTTGCCCTACTAAGAAGCAGATAAACAATACTGATTGATATGGACCACATATCATTTTTCTCAGTTTTAAATCTGGTCGTCGTGAGCATAGCAATCAGATCATGTCAGTAAGAAGTTTCTGCTGCTCAGAAGTTCCATGATTTTTGTTTTTTCTTAAAGTATTCCACTTCTATATGTCATACATTAAGTACTTTTAAAATGCTGTTAGAGGTTGGTATTTCTTTTTTTCTTGGCACTATTTTGTTCTGGATTTTGTATAGTGTTCTGAAAATGTTCCAGTGTTTTACAGGAAATACTGCTAAATGAGCTATGTGTATATATCATGAACAAAAGTTGGTCTTTTCCTGTGTTAAAAGTGATTACTGCCTTAAACAAGTGTTATTTCTCTCTGTGTCAGCTTTTTCTCAACCACGGTATGTAATGATGCCCATTACCACGTGTGGATATTTATGGCAGGATCTGGCCCTGATTGGCTGTGATCACAGGACACCGTGAACTGCTAGACCAAGGGAGCATAACACTGAGATGTGCAAGAAAAAAAGTTGCATTATTTTAGAAATAAAATGTTCCCAGCATGAGTTTAGCAACAAAAAGCCAAAAATAAATTGAAAGCTTTCTTCCAGGTTATTTATAAGTCCAGTACTTCTACACCAGGACACACATTTTCTTATTCCTCTCAATTGATCACTTTCATAGGCATCTACATACAGGCAATACTTTTTTAAAGCATGTATTTATAATTTTGAGGAATAGAAAAAAATTCCTAATCAAAACAGGTTTATGGTTCAATGTCATGGGAAACATTAATACATACACAACGAACCCCCTAAGTAGTCTTTCCCATCACAAAATACAAATTCTGGTTTATGTTCATTGGTGTTTTGTTTCTTCTTTAAATTTCATCAGGAAAAAGTCTGCTTTATTGATGGTCTCTGCTATGTTGAAGGGGACAGAAATCCCACCAGCCCTTGTTTGATATGCAGATCTAACATTTCAAAATTTACCTGGTCATTTTTAGAAAGTAAGTTGTTTTTTACTAATCTATGTATTCCTTTACAAAAATATTTTTAAAGAAGTTGTAAGCCATTACTTAAATGATTTTGTTTAAGATGATGAGTACTAGATTCCTTATAACAGTTCTCTGAAATGTGTAATCTTTCCTGGAAGAAAACATAAAATTATTTCTTTTTATAATATGTATGATTTATACTTTATATGGCATGGATTTTTAATTTTAATATTTAATAAAGAAACCAATGTGAATTATTAATTGGATAATGGAAATGAATAATTCAGGTATATATGTTTGTGCAAGTCCAATTATCTGCTAGCAAATTGGTCTCTCAGACATTTTATAGCTCCCAAAAATCTATGAACAAATGTCAGTGTGTTTAGTAGAAAAACAATATCACATTGAGAAAAAGGACCTAAATTTTAGTCTTAGATTTACTGCTTTTGTGACAAGGCTTTGGACCATTTAACTACCCAAGCGTTACCCTTCTGTTCAGTAAGATACTTGCACTCAATAACCTATGAAGTATTTTCCAGCACCATCATTCTGTGACTCTGCGAGTCTAACATTGGGATGGTAAATGCATCAAATTCTAGTCAAGTACCAGATGACTACATCACTTGCCCAAATTAAAAAAAAACAAACAACTCACTGCCATCACGCTGATGCCAAGTCATAGCAACCTGATGGGACAGGGCAGAACTGCCCCTGTCGGTGTCAGAGACTGTAACTCTTTATAGGAGTAGAAAGCCCTGTCTTTTTCCCGTGGAATGGCTGGTGATTCCAAACTGCCAACCTTGTGGATCGAAGTCCAACACATAACCACTTAGCCACCCTCACTTGCCCAAATAGAGCTGTGTATAAGTCCACATGTGTATGCCCCCAGAGTCCCTTCCCTCGGTGAGAAGATAAAGGCCTCATTCGATCATATGGTACAGTCACCCCACAACCTCCTGTGGTTGTATCTAATGGAGTCATGAAAACGTAGGCAGTGCTTTACGATACATGTCGGGGCATTATTGCCCTAGATCATCTGCCACAAGATTCACTGCTCAGGAATAAGACTCATGGGGTGCTCTGAGAAGACAATGGAAATATGGGGAAGAATTTAGTGTAGGAGACAAAGGAAATAGAATGTAACTTCTGCATTGGTGTGCATGCGTTTGAAGACTATGTAGTCTTAATTCAAAGGCGCCCTGGTGGCACAGTGGGGTGAGCATTGGACTGATGACAGAAGGTCACAATTCAACCCCCCAACTTCTCTTAGAGAAAAATAAGAGGCAGTTTGTTGCCATCAGGATATACAGCTTCTGAAACCCTGTGGGATGGTTCTGTTCTGCCCTTAAGGCCAGCTGTGAGTGGGAATTGACTCAAAAGCAGTGGGTCTGGTGTGTGTGTGTGTGTGAGAGAGAGAGAGAGAGAGAGATTCATCAGAGTCAGAGTATCAAAATATATAAGAGATCTTAAAAGATTATCTGTTCCCTTTATTTTATGTTGAGGATGAGGAAAGTAATTATTAATAAATTAAACTGCTAGGTAAGGGTTTACAAGGCAGAAATAACACTTGATCCACAGTCTCTTGCCATCAATGTTTCCCTGATGCAAACATAGTTTTGTGCTTGCTGCAACATAACGAGACTGCCTTTCCCATCTGCTGCTCTCCGCATCACACTTCCTTCCTTTTCCACTGATTACAGAGGCGAGTGTTCTGTAAGCCTTTTATAGAAGCAATATGAAAAGATGTGTTAAATCATTCATGAACATAAAGAAACCTATCTCTATCCCCTGAAATAGTCACACACTAATATGTAATCCACGTCACTCGAAAGATCTCCAAGGAAGGCGAAAGGAAACAGAGGCAAGCTCTAGGAAGCAAAGGCACAGATAGGGAGATTAACAGAGGTGTGCACTTCTGCAAATACATTAATCTATAACAATAGTGGTATAGGCCTATATATATATATTTATAAGGCAATACACTGAAGCTGCAGATAGGCCTTGGGCCTCGCTCAGCTCATACTTCCCCTCAATATAAGAACACATTGTTCTAACAAGTTGGCATTCTGTGATGCTCACCCCCCACCCCCCACTACACGGTCGCTGAAGATAAAATGGGTGCATAAGCAGATGTGGTGAAGACAGGATAGTGCCCGGCTATTAAAAGATATCATGTCTGGGATCTTAAAGACTTGAAGTAAGCGGCCATCCAACAGTGAAGCAACAAGCTCACATGGAAGAAGCACACCAGCCGGTGTGATCATGAGGTGTTGAGACTGGGCAGTGGGCATCAGAAGATTCACAACAAGCAGTAAACAAACAAAAATGCATTGGTGAGAATGGAGGGAGGTTGGAGCAGAGACCCAAAGCCCATCTATGGACAATGGAGCATCCCCCCACAGAGGGGCTGCAGGGAGGGGTGAGTCAATAGGATGCAGGAGAACACTAAGGGGTTACGCAATATACCTCTGTTTCCTGGAGGCCTCTTCACCCGCTCTGCTATCACAACCTCAATGCCACTTCCCAATCTAGACTAGACGGGAGTATGTACAAAGGTATATAGAGGCAAGAGATAAAATTCACAACACCTGGAACCCAGGAACAGGAAGGGAATAGAGATACCAAAAGGGTAGGGGGAAGTGCGGGATAGGTGGGGAGGGAGGGGGGTACGGATCACAATGAATGGCACATAACCACACACCCCAGCCAGGGGGAAGAACAACAGAAACCAGAGGGGAAGGGAGACAGTGGTCAGTGTGAGATTTGAAAATAATTAACAATCTACAATCTATCAGGGCCACAAGGGTTCGGGGTGTGAGGAAGGAGGGTAAAAAGGAGGAGCTGATCCCAAGGGCTCAATGGAAAGTAAATGTCTAGAAAAGAAGGATGGGATACATTTATGAATATGTCAGATACAATTGATGTATGGTTTGTAACAAGAGTTGTAAGCGCCCCCAATAAAATGTAAAAAAAAAAGAAAGAGAAAGATCTCCAAGGAACAGATGATGGTACGACTGTGTTGGCATTGGTGGCCCACAAGTAGACTCCAACTCATAGTGACCCACCTGGGCAAAGTGTTTTCAAAACTGTGATTTTTCCCAAAGCAAACCACCAGGTCTGTCTTCTGAGGTGCCTCTGGATGGGTTTTAACTGTCAGCTTGTTGGCTAGTAGTCAATTGCTTACCCATTTGTACCACTTGGTATCCTTGATTAGCGTGGCTAATGGTTCCCCAATGTTATGTAACCCGAGAATGAGATGCAGCCCAGAAAGGTTAGCAGCGTGCCATGAACAAGTCCATCATGGATGGTATGGGAGGAGGAAGGAGAGAAAGGGAAGTCTAGTGGGTGGCAATGAGGGCGGAAGCAGGGAAATGGTGAGAGAACCAGCAGTGAGATGGTGAAAGCTGAGAAATAATTTCAGATAGCAAAGGAGTTATGTCAATCGGGACAACAAAAATGTTTGTATTTCTGTTATGTTCAAAGTGTTTTCATGCTTTCATAGCAAGACTTGAATTCTTGCACCTGTGTACAGTTCAAAGAATTGTAATAGCTTTGTGAAAAAGAAAAAAAATTAAGGGTGGCCGTGGTAGTGGTGAAGGCAGCTATAGGGATTCTAGCAGCATCTTAATGGGCGCCCTCTGCATCATACTTCCTTCTTTTTCTACACAGATACCAAAGTAAATGTTTTCTCTGTTACAGACAACCAGCCTCCAGTGATTCAAGGACTACAAGACACATTTCAGGTGTTTTATGGGGAAAGCTTCGTGTACCAATTCATGGCCGTTGATCCAGAAGGCTCTGACATCCATTTTACCTTAGTCTCTGGTCCTGAAGGAGCAAGTGTTTCCCCTACAGGACTGCTTGTGTGGGAGAGCCCGTCGCATAGCCCTCAGCAATTTACATTACACTTTAATGATGACTGTAATGCTGAAACTAGAGTCATGATCGAGGTAATATTTGTAATCATATTAAATGTCACTCAAACTTCCCCACTCTCCCTTTCACACCCATCCAGCCCGCATGCCTATCCAGGCATCTCCCTGTAGGTCACTGTTATCGCAGGATTGGGTAGATAACAGCATTTATTGTTCTAGACACAGTATTTACTGTTATAACAGTAGGTGGTGTCGTGGTTACTGTTGGGCTGCGATACTCATCATTGGCAGTTTGAAACCACCTGCAGCTCCGAAGGAAAAAGACTGGGCTTTCTACTCTAAAACGGTTACAGTCTCAGAAATTCACAGGGGAGTCTTGGTGAGTCAGAACTGACTCAGTGGCGGTGAGTTTGGGTTTGGAGTTAAAAGTTGCCAGTAACTCTTGAACTCTCCCTAGTGGCTATCCCTGACTCCATCATTTTTTCCTGACCACCCTCAGTGGGTATTGTCTCATGGGTCAGAACCATTTAGATGGCATCTGCTATATAACAGGTTAGAACTCCCTGTGGGTTTCTGAAATAGTAACTCTTTATGGAAGTAGAAAGCCTCATCATTCTCCCATTTGTCTACCCTCTACTTGGTGATTTATCTTCCCTTCCCCTCTCATCGCTTGTAGGCATCAAAAAGTGTTTCTTTAATTGATGTGAAACCCTTTTCTAGACATTTTATAATAATGATCTCATACAATATTTGTTCTTTTGTGATTGACTTGCCTCACTCAAAACATTGTCTTCTATATTATGTTCTTTGCAGTCATCATTATTCTTTAATGCTGCATCATATCCTAGAGTTTGTTTATCCATTCTTCCATTGATGGGCAATTAGGTTGTTTCTATCAATCTTTAACAATAGTCATAACTTCATAATTTTTTAAACTATTCTTTGTAAGAACTTAAAACCTTAGGAGAGAGTTTCGATCATAGCAAATAGGGATGAAATCACTAATTCCTAGACCATTTTCTTCTGCATCCAACTATGACAAGGATAGAAAATTCATTTGTGACCCCTTCCATTAAAGATCTGTGTTAACTTTATGTACTTTTCCATCAAGTGGTGACTACGACAGAATCTCAAGTATTGAATTAGAAACAAAGACTTCAAATGACAAGTGAGCAACTATGGTTCCATTTCTAAGATTTAGTTACTTTTTCATTGGTCATAAGGTCTTAATACATGTAAACTGCTTTGTGCCCTGTGTCTCCATGAATCTGTAGTAAAAAATGCATTCCTATGTCACGTTAACCCCGTCGTTCCAGTGATTATGCAGGGCCTGCCCCAGGGGCCTCACTGCTTTCTAGATATTCCTTTCATCAGGTGTCTGCTTTCCTTATGAAATTTATTTTGTAATATTTTAAAATAATCCCAGCACTTCTATTCTGTCTGCATGCTGATAGCATTCTCACTGTCAGATTAAAGCATTTTAAAATAAAAATACCACGTTATTAAATGTTTAAAAAAAGTATTTACAAAAACGTGTGATTTGGTCATACTTGCACATAAACAAGCATTTTTATCATGGTTCCAGGGCCGTAAACTAGGATAACTTTTTGTTTCTCTTGTAGGTGACGGTGAAGTCTTGTGCTTGCTTGAACGGTGGGTCATGTGTGTCTGATACTCACTCTTCCCCGGGAAGTGGGGCACACCTGTGTGTCTGCTTGCCTGGCTTTCAGGGTGATCATTGTGGAGTAGACATCGCTGACTGCCAGTCTAGCCCCTGTGGCCGTGGCAGATGTGTTCGTGGTGTTCACAATTACTCCTGTGATTGTCCATCTGAGCTCAAAGGTAAGTTCTGGTTCCTTGTAGACGAAAGTAGAATGTGAACACAGTAGAAAGGAAAAGTCCTTGGAATGCTCATCAAGCATCTGGATGATCCTAGAAATTTTGATATATTTTTAAATTCTCATGAAAAGTCATTAAATATATTTGCTATCCATAGTCTTTGGTTGTGTATTGCTTACTTGTACTCTTGATGTTTTTTGTTTTGTTTTTTTAGTTTTAATAGCATTTTTATATGGTTGTGTTTTGTTTTGTAGACTTTTAAATATTTTTATTTATATTTGAGATGTACAAATATATTGAAATGTATTGTTAGAATATAATATGGAAAAATACAAATATGACTAAGGCAACATAAAATAACCACTCAAGAGACTTTGTTTTTATTCATTAATTTAGAAATATTATGGTATGAAGTTAGATTAAAGTGAAATGAACTTCTAGCATATTTGCTGACTGATTAATTGCCCTAAAATACTTGATTCCAGTAACTCCAAATAAGTATATACCTGATAACCTTTAATCAAGGCCTTAAAATATAAATATATATACCAATAGTTTATTTCATTTAAATAGATATAAGTATTAAGTAAGTAAGAATGCAATAATTTAACTGATAATTTTCTTGAATACAATGATTTAAAACTATAACAAGACTAACCATAACATTAAGGGATTTTTCTAATTTTTTTCAGGATTTTAGAATTTTAGAAAATCATCATTAGGATCTATTTATAAGATAAAATTTTGGAACTTTAGAACAGAGCATATTGTGCTATTGACACTTGAAATTATTTGTTTCACTCCATGGATGCTTCATATTTTTTTCTGTATGATATTACTATTAATGGCTATGAATTTATTCATCCACTGAAAATGTTAACCAAAAAAGCATTATTTTATTTCAAAAAAATTCACTAAGGGAAATTTCAACACTGAATTTTCTAGCACACTGAAAAAATTTCTTGGAATTTCACAATCAGCATAATAACTAAGCTGAACCTTTAAGTTAAGAGGGAAACTGTTCTAAAATGCCCTTTTTTAAAATTACTTTTAAAAAACAATATAGCATTACTATCATATGATGATTTTGTGCTTTAAAAATATTAGTTGACTTGTTAAACTACCTTAATTCTAGGTAGTCTTATGTTCTAAGAAGTCTGATAGCTAAATGAAATTCACTAGTAACTTTAGGTTTGACATACATGTGTAATGTGTTCTCAAAGAGGATTCACTCACCCCTCATCATGTATTTGACTTCTTTTGAGGGGTAAAATGGCATACATAAAGGGTAGAAGAAATAAAATAATGAGTCCCTGATTGGACATCAAATATTTTTAAAACAAACAACTCTCAAACTATTGATCTATCTTTTGTTTAGGCAAAAATTGCCAGGAAGATGTCGATGAGTGTGAATCCAGCCCCTGCTTTCCAAAAGTAGAGTGCTTCAATACCTTTGGCGCCTATCATTGCGGTTCATGTCCAAAAGGACTTTATGGTGATGGAAAAGTGTGTCATGGTAAAAGTCTGTGCTTTGTGATATGAGTGTTTTCTTTACTGCATTTAATCAATTAAAATCACTCCGGGTCACTCTCTCTCCCATACCCTCATTCAGTGCATATGCATTGGGTCCTGCAACAAGTCAATGAAGAAGTAAATAAGACATGCCCTGGGACTTAATGTATATTATAACAGAGAGTATGACATATCATTTTTAAAAAGCACAGTTAAGTTTGTCCAATAGTATAATAAGCCTGCCTACAGGGAATAGTAGACATACTACTCACAGAATCACATCTACAGAAAGGGGTGAAGCAAGGGAAGTTTCACTAGACCTGTATCTGAGGTGTCAGATTAGCAGAGAAAAAGGAACCGAATGAGAAGAGCTATAGAAACAGGTAACAACACAGCACCCTAAGGAACTGTGAAACATTCAGTCTAAAGCACTGGAAGGAAGAGCTAGAAAGGTAGTCTGTGGCCAGCTCACTGGCCAGACTCGGGAATCATGTGATAAGTAGGATTTTTAAGTAGGTTTTAGAAATTAAAGAGGATAGTGATAAAGTTTACATGTGAAAATATTCATTTAAAGAGCAGTCTGAAGAATGACCCATTTGTGTGCAAGATGCCGAGACATTCTGAAAGTGGGAAGGAGAGCTAGCTAAGACAGGAATAGAGTCTGTGACAACACGGGAGCCCTGGTGGCACAGTGGATTCTGAGTTGGGCTGCTAACCGCAAGGCCAGCAGTTGGAAACAACCAGCCGCTCTCCAGGAGGAAGATGAGGCTGTCTGTTCCTGGAAAGATTTACAGCCTCAAAAACCTAAAGAGGTACTTTACTCTGCCCTATGGGGTCACTATGAGTCAGACTTAACTTGATGGCAAAGAGCATGTTTCTTTGGAGATCATAGAAACTCTGACCGAAGGCGAGGCATGAGAATGAATGAAAAAGATACTAAGGAAGTAGATTGACTCGGTTTGGTCAGTGAGTGGATACGAAACAGGAAGGAGAAAAGAACAAGTAAGTTTCAAGTGCTTGGTTTAGGAGAATGGGAGTAGAATTGTCAATCGTACAATATGCAAAAAAAAAAGTGATTTTAAACGGGAGGATAGCAATTTCAGTTTGGATAGAGATTGAGGTCACTCTGGAATCTCCATGTGGAATTTAGAAATGAGGATTGAGTTAACAATGACAATCCTTTAGAAATTAGCGGTGGGATGAAATTGCTTAGGGGCAGTGGATACTAATATAAAAAAGAGGACCAAAATATTGGTGAACGTCAACATTTCAGAAGATTTCAATGCAAATGTAAACTACAGAAGACAGTATTAAAGAGCCATATCTTGGGTGTAAGGAAGCTAGTGAGATTTTCATTTTGATTAAAACCATAAACATAGTTTATTAATGAGGTAAGGGGCCTGGTGTCTCTGTGAGTTAGACACTGAGCTGCTAACTTAGAAGGCTGGGGATTTAACCACACTCGCCTCTCTGTGGAGAAAGGTAAGGCTGGCTGTGCCCATCAGTATTCCCAGCCTTGGGTCGGACTCAACTACAGTGGGTATATTAGGAGATAGCCTTGTGCTTCAAATCCATGGACCTAGCTAGAGCTCTCTCGCAGTCATCAATTTGATTCCTACTCACACGGCCCTATAGAACAGGATAACACATTGTGGGTCTCCAAGCCTGTAAATCTGGTAGGAGCAGAAGGTCTCCTCTTTCTCCTCTGGCGCAGCTGGTGGGTTTGAACTGCCAAGCTTGTGGTGAGCAACTCACCACATAACCCACTACACTGCCAGGGCTCTTTTATCTAGAGGAGCACACAGTGCAGGACGGCAAGGACCATTCCCTACTATCTCAGCAATTTACATTTCCCTTCAGTATCTAGTGCCTAATGCCCAACACCGTGATACCGTGCACTCTGAAGTGACCTAATACCCTTCTTTTCTAAACAAAGAGCCTGTTAAGTAAGCTGGTGGGTTCAAATGGCTGATTTTTTTGGTTATCAGCCATGTGCTTAACCACTGTGCCGCTGGGGCTCCTTAAAAATAAAACAAAACACAAAACTTACTGTCATCAAGTCAATTCTCACTCATAATGAGCCTATAGAATAGAACTGCTTTGTGGGTTTCCAAGTCTGTAACTCTTTAGGGGACTAGGAAGACAATCCTTTCTCCCAGAGCAGTGGCTGGGGAGTTCAAATTGCTGACCTTGTGGTTAGCAGTTCATCAAGTAACTACAATGCCACCAGGGCTCCTGTTTCTTATTCGTACATACACCCCAAATCCAAACCAGCCATCGAGCCAATTCAGACTTATAGCGACCCTATATAGGGTTTCCAAGACTGTAAATCTTTACAGGATCACATAGCCTCATCTTTCTCCCTCAGAGTGGGTGATAGATCTGAACCTCTGATCTTGCAGTTGGGAGCCCAGCCTAACCCACAGGCCATCAGAGGTCCTTATAGTACATGTTCTAGACATTAAGTAAAGGAATGAATCACTGACTCTCAAACACTGTGAGTAGAGCAGAGCATGAACAAACGTTATTGACTAATACTTTTATATTTATCCATTGTTTAGAGGTAGAGTTTCAGCCACCATCAACTGAGAATTCACTAAGAGTTACCCAGAGTCCTACTACTATCAAAACGGTTTTGGACACAACCAACCACTTCTCACACTTACTGAAATCAACTGCAACTCAAATGAATAATTCCAAGAAGTTTATTCCCCATCATGTGTCTGATTTTCAACATTTGGATCAAGCTCTCAACACAAACCCCAGTCTGGATGCATTGGAAGTGCCTACGAACAATCTCAACTCTTTAAGCTCCCTTGGCAAAGCCAAGGATGTTGTGCAGAGCACCATCCAAACAGAGACAGAAGGGTATGATTCTCAGGTTGACAGATCTTCCCACGGCGATGCACATTATAAGGAGGGGCTTACATCATCAGTCACTAGAGCAATCACTGTCTTGCCAGAAAAGCCTGGGCCCACCAAATTATCACCTTGTGCTGATTCACCTTGTTTCATTGGTGTTTCTTGTGTGGCAACCTCAGATGGCCACTTCAAATGTGGACGCTGTCCATTTGGATTTTACGGAGATGGTATCAATTGCCAAGGTAATGTCAAACTCTTTGGAAAAGTCAAATAAACTATCTAGTTAAAATTTTACTCAATTATGAAGAAATCCTTTTCTATTTACTCATTTCTGTTGATTCTACTTGTTATTTATTTGTTATTACCCTATTGTTACATTTTATGCTTTAACATTTTGAAAGACAGATAAAATACTTTTCTTTTAAAAAGTGAATATTAATATTAAAATTTAAAAAGTAATGCTAATATTATGCAGTATCACAGCTATATATGTTCTACTTATTGCAACCGTATAATGTATGTTCTACATATACTATGCATTGTGTACTTAACCTACTCTGTTTCAGGGTCTATGAGACATCCTGCATCAGTAGTGTCATATGATCTACAAGAAACCCTCATCTGTAGAGTGGGTTTTGTTTTTCGTGCTATACAGTTGAGGAACTAGAACCTTGGTGGTCTATTGATTGTCCTGACATTAAACACCTTAGGAAATACAATGAGGATGTGGATATGGGCCTGATTAGCATTGTGGTTTTAATTACTTTCAACTCACAGTAGGAGCTTACATTTGAGATGACGGATTCTAACATATTTGCTTATTTACATAAACTAAGATATGTTCTCCTGGGAAAAGAAGAAATATCTGGCTATATATTTATAAATATTTCAAAATCATTTTATTGGGGGCTCTAACAGCTCTTATCACAATCCATCCATCCATTGTGTCAACCACATTTGTACATATGTTGCCATCATCATTTTCAAAGGATTTCTTTCTACTTGAGCCCTTGGTAGCTTATTTTTCTCCCTCCCCCACTGTCCCTCCCTCATGAACCCTTGATAATTTGTAAATTTTTTTTCCATGTCTTACACTGACTGCTGTCTCCCTTCACCCACTTTTTGTTATCTGTCCCTAGGAGGGTGTTATATGTCAATCATTGTGATTGGTTCCCCTTTTCTCCCCCCACCTTTCTGGTATCACTACTCTCAATATTGGTCCGAAGGGATTATCTGTCTTGGATTCCCTGTGCTGTGAGCTCTTATCTGTACTACTGTACATGCTCTGGTCTACCCTATTTGTAGGGTAGAATTGGGACCATGATAGTCGGGGGAGGAAGCATTAAAGAATTGTAGGAAAGTTGTATGTTTCATCCTTGCTATATTGCAGCCTGACTGGTGCGTCTCTTCCTTGTGACCCTTCTGTAAGGGTTGTCCAGTTGTCAACAGTTGGGCTTTGGGTCTCCACTCCACTCTACCCCTCATTCATACTGATATGATTTTTCTCTGCTGGGTCTTTGATGCCTGATACCCGATCCCATTGACACCTCATGATCACACAAGCTGGTGTGCTTCCTCTATGTGGGCTTTGTTGTTTCTCAGCTAGATGGTCGCTTGTTTATCTTCAAGCCTTTAAGACCGCAGATGCTATATCTTTTGATAGCCAAGCATCATCAGCTTTCTTCACCACATTTCCTTATGTACCCATTTTGCATTCAGTGATAGATCATGTCAGGGAAGGTGAGTATCACAGAATGCCAGGTTATTAGAACAAAATGTTCTTGTGTTGAGGGAGTACTTGAGTAGAGGCCCAGTGTCTGTCTGTTGCCTTAATACTTAGTATATAAATATATGTACATAGATCTATTTCCCCATCATCATATATAAATATATTTACATATTTACATGCCTATATTTAGACCTATATAAATGTCCTTTGCCTTCTTCTAGTTCTGTCTTCTATTTCCTTTTATTTTCCTCTTGTCCCACTATTAAGTTCAGCCTTCATTTGGGTTTTGGTAATTCCGCTCGGTTACATTGCCCTTGATGAGGCCCCACCAGGCATCCTACACTCTCCTTGCTGTCGATTTTCAATCACTTGTTCCCTTGTCCCTGGGTTTGTTGACACCCCCCTTAATCCCCCTCCTTCCATGCTTCCCCCTCTCTCATGTCCCCCTGGGACCATCTGCCCTGTTGTTTTGTCCTCTGGATTGTTTATCCCAGCTATCTTATCTAGGTAGACATGTAGAGACAATAATAAGCACAAAAACAAGGAAAAGCAAAACAAATCAACAAAAGAAAACAAATAAACAAACAAAAACAACAACACCAACAAAAGGAAAGCCTATAAATAGTTCCAGGTTTGTTTGTTGACCTTTATGAGTGCTGTCTGGTCAAGTTTGATGGGGTGCCACGCCAGGCCCCAAAGTCTATTTTTGGTATTCCTCGGGGACTTCATTGCTCTGCTTCCCTTGCTGCTCTGTTGCATGCCCTTAGTGTTTCACCCCTGGTGTGGTGGGTCAGATTAGGCACAATTCCTGCACTGTGTCTCCAGTGTTGTCCTCCATAGCGCTATGGGTCAGTGAGGGAAGTCATGTCTCTTGGTAGGCTATGGTCCTCTCTGTGCATTGGCTGCTCTGAGCAGGAATATTGTCTCCGGGACTTGCTGGACCAGGATGTGTTCCACACTCTTGCTCCTCCCTTCATTTGTTCCTGTGTGCTCTGATGAGACACACCCCTCTCCCTGAGCTGTAGTTTTAGTGCTGTCCTCTGAAGTGCATTCTTCTGGAGGGGGAGGGGATAGGTTGTCTAGGTAGTTGGGAGTGGGGCTGGCTGCACAGACCTCTTTATAGGTTCACTGTTTCGTGTCAGTATGTTGCATTTATGTCCTAGTGCACCAGGTTGAAATCTAGTCCCTTCCTTCTCTTCTGTGGAGGAGCCCTTGGGTGGGTTATTACCTTGTTCCCCCACTACCCATGTCTTTTTTGTGTGTGTGTCTTTCTTTTCCCCTCCTTTTTTGTTGGCTCCCAAGGGCTTGGGTCTGGCCCTTGCCATAGTACCTGAACCTCACCCCAGGAATGTAGGTATATAATAGTTTTCCCCCTATGCCCCTTTTGCATTTTTAAGCTTACCTCAGTGGACTCGTGTTGTATTTGTCCTTTTGTTCTTGGCTTACTTTGCTTAGCATAATTTCCTCCAGTTCTTCCCATGTGGTGATGTGCTTCATGTGTTCATCACTGCTTTTTAGAGGTGCATAGGGGTCCACTGTATGTATGTACCACAGTTTTTTAATCCATTTGTCTGTTGATGGAAATTTGGGTTGTTTCCAACTCCTTGCAATTATGAACTGGGCCACAATGAACACTGAAGCACAGATGTCTGGCCGTGGTTTGTTTCTTGCCTCTTTTGGGTATATGCCCAGTAGGGGGATTGCTGGGTTTCATGGTAGCTCAATTTCCATCTGTTTTGGATATCGCCAGATTGATTTTTATAGTGGCTGTACATACTTACAGGTCCACCAGCAGTGGATGAGAGTTCCTATTTTGCCAAAGCCCCTCCAACACTTGTTACTTTCTGATATTTTGAATTGGGCTATCTTTGAGAGTGTTAGGTGGTATCTCATAGTTGTTTTAATTTGAATTTCTTTTATGGCTAATGATCAGGAACATTTTCTCATATGTTTATTGGCCATTTGGTTTTCTGCCCTTGTGAAGCTTCTGTTCAGGTCCTTTGTGCACCTCCTCAGTGGGCCGTTACTTTTTTTCTTAATGTAAGCTAGCAGAGCACTGTAGATTTTAGTAATAAGGCCTTTGTCTGTTGTGTCATTGCTAAAGATGTTTTCCAAGTCTGTGGGCTCTCTTGGTGAATTTTTTTTGTGTGTGTGTGAATTCTTTTGATGTACGTAGGTGATTTATCTTCAGTATATCTCAGTTGTAAATTTGTGCCTCCTCTGTATTTATGTCCTTCCCTATTTTCAATAGCCTATGTATTCCCTGTGCCAAAGTTCTTAGGTTTGTCCCAGTTCCCTCATTGATGTCCCTAATGGTTTGGGGTTTTACCACAAGGTCTGCGATCCACCTTGAGTTTATTCTTGTGCATGGAAGGATCTTGCTTCATTTTTCTTCAGGTAGATATCCATTTTTTCTAGCACCACTTGTTGAAGGGGGCATTCACTTCCCAATTGATATTTTTTTTGGCCCTTATCAAAGATCAGTTGTCTGTATGCTGATGACTTTATTTCTGGGTTTTCTGTCTTTTCCATTGGTTTGAGTATCTGTCATTGTATCAGTACCACACTGTTTTGACCACTGTGGCTGTATGATAGGTGATAAAGTCAGGTAAAGCAAGCCCTTCCACTCTGTCATTTAGGAGGTATCTGCTAATTCTGGGCTTCTTCCCTCTCCATATGAAGTTGGTAAACAGTTTTTCCAATTCTTTGAAGAAGGATTCTGGTATTTGTATCAGGATAGTATTAAACTGATATAATGCCTTGGGCAGAACTGACATCTTTACTAAATTGAGTCTTCAGATCCACGAGCATGGGATATTCTTCCCTTTGCTGAGGTCACTCCTGGTTTCTTATAATAGTGGTGTATTGTTTTCATCGTACAATTTTTTTTTAAAGTCAGGTGTATCCCTAGATATTTCCATTTGTGCTTAGCTATTTTGTGAAGGGTACCACCTTTTTGATCATCTCTTCTGTGGTCTTATCCCATGTGCATAGCAGTCCAATAAACTACTGTTTGTTGATCTTGTATCCTGCCTCTCTGCCATATTCCTCTATTGGTTCCAGTACTCCCCTTGTGAAGCTTTTAGGATTTTCCATACATCTAATATTATATTATCTGCAAATAACAATAGTTTCACCTCTTTCTTCCCAAGACGAATACTTTTTATGTCTTTTCTTTCCCCTATGTTGTTAGCTAGGACCTCCGGTATGATGTTAAACAAGAGAGGGGACAAGAGGCATCATTGTATTGTTCCCTTCTTCAGTGGGATTGTTCTCATCTTTTCTCCATTGACTACTATGTTGGGTGCTTGTTTTTCATATATAGCTTGTATTATATTGAGGAATTTTCCTTCTATTCCTGTCTTCTTTAGTGTCTTAAACAGGAATGGGTATTAAATGTTGTTGAATACTTTTTCCTCATCTATTAATATTGTCAATAGATTTTAATTTAATTTTCCATGTCAATGTGGCAAATAATCCTAATGGTCTTTCATATGTTGAAGCATCCCTGCA